AAAATGCAATTATCAATAACCAACTTGCAGTGTCTATCTTTCTCAATTGGGAAAAAGTATATGACACTTCATGGAAACATGGTATTTGGAAAGATTTACATGATTTTGGATTATGAGGCCATTTGCCTCAATATATATCCAAGTTTTTAACTGACAAGTCCGCATGGGTTCTAACTTGTCTAATCAATATACCGGGTAATCAGGATCAGTGTCCCACAAGGCAGCATTTTGTCTGTCACATTATTTAGCATAAACATGAAACAGCATAGCAAAAGTTTTGAACGATTGCATTTTGTGGATGACTCTTAATATTTGTTGTCGTGGCAAATATATGAATAGTATTGAAAGGCAGCTTCAGCTTTGCCTAAATATAATCCAAAAATGGTCTGTAGAAAATGGATTCATATTATCAAAATTATATTTTTCTGGAAAATATAAACATCACAGAGACCCCGAATTAAGTTTGGATGGTGCTCCTATTATTATTTTGTTATCAGCATCTTACCTTTCTACCTCACATTACATATATAAAAAAAAACATTGTATGAAGGCCCTTGATTTATTAAAAGTTATCTCAAATTGAAAGTGGGGAGGGGATCAGAAAACCCTCCTGCAACTTTATAGACCACCGATCCGCTCCAAATGGATTATACTTAAGTCGTTTATGGTTGAGCCTGTAACAGTAATTTATTACTTGACACAATTCATCATCACGGTCTGAGGCTTTGTCTTTTATTGATAGTGTGTCTCTGGAAGCTGATAAGCCCTCACTAAAACAACGATACAATACATCATTAAACTTTCTTTCTAATCCATCAAATCCAGCTTTCGGCTGTGTCTTTAACTCTCTCTTTGAGGATCACCTGTTCCACCTTTTGGACTGATAATAAAACCTCACATTTATGTTGCTAAAATTAACTTAAAGAACATTTGTCCTAAGCAATTACTGTTATCTTCTCATAGCAAATGGTAAAAGATTGAGTGGATCTCTTGGGAGCCAAACTAAAGAAATCAGACACTAATGAACATAAGTATCAGCAAGATCATTGCAATGCTTACAGATCATATGACAAATGGATCCAAAGATGGTGACGCAGTCGCTAGTGCTACTGTCATTAGATCCAGAGCCATATAATCCAGGTTATCAAAGTACAGTTCATTTTCACAGCGGAATTAGAAGCTATATTAACAGCTCTTAAATATTTTAATGCTCAGTCTAAACATAAACAATTCATTGCGTTTGCTGGTGATTCCTTCTCTGACATTTTTTTCCTGCAAACATCCACTTTTAATCGAAATACTTGAATTATATAATGATCTAGCTACTGACCAATACGACATCGTATTTTGTTGGTTATCTCATTGGAATTACTGGTAACACAATGGCTGATGCTGCTGAGAAAGCAGCTATCAACAACTCTGTGACACATCACCTTATCCCATATAGTTATTATTAGCTTGTTGTGAGATGTCACATCCGTGATCTGATGCAAAAACAGTGGGATACACAGGTGGGTATACAAAGGTTACATGAAATTAAACCAGCTATCGGCTACAGGTATCTGTGTTGTCAGTTTAGATTTGAAGAGGTCGTCATGCGCCGATTCCATTCTGGCCTCTCGAGATACACCCACGAGTATTTACTGAAATGGGAGGATCCTCATTTTGTATCTTGAAATACAATCAAGCACGTCACACGGGATAAATATTTCAAAGTGAAAACACTAAAGGATGTTTTAGAAATGTTGGTTATCCTGTGACATTATCCTTTTGTGTATAGCTTTTATATATTTGAGATTTGTACGTGGTTGTGCCCTTGATGGTGGTTGAAGCACTGTAAACGAAGTCTACCCCAATGGGAGGATATATAATACAATGTCTTATGTGTTATTATATCTACCTGAAGTGTAAATGTTGAATAATTATTTAGTTTTAATGTCAGTCTAAACCTTCGACAACTATCACAGCAGAAATAACTTCGTTTCCGGACACTGGAAAACTAACTGAAACAAAATTGAAACTTAAGTTTCAGTTAGGTTTCCGGACTGTTTCTGTACATTTCCTTAAAGTTTCCATAATTTTTAGTAAATAAGAATCTGTATGGCTCCATTTGGTTTCAATTATTAGTATTCAGTGATTACCAAATGTCCACATTAAATGATGATTGAATAAATTACATGACATAACACATTCAAATACATTTCCACTACAGTTATCTCAACACCACCTGAACATAAACAAACATCAGTCAGTCAGTCGATTTATCTTTATTCATCATAAACATTTTTTATCAAATATCAATAAAATATGCTCAATAGCACTAACATGTAGGAATACACGGGGGCGTCGTTGTCGTCGTCATCGCAAGGTCTTCATTTTTGCCATGGCTCTGGAGCATGCTGAAGCCATTCGTTCATTGTCCAGTAGGTGTGCGGACAACAAAACCTGTGGACAAAAGCCTCCTAGGACAAAACAAAACAGGACAAAAAATCCTAGCCTTGGGACCAAAAAACCCACCATGTAGGACAAAACCCCCATCACAATTTGGGCACTAACCATCAACACAACATGCTGTTATGTCCCACACCGATCAGAAAGTCTTCAATGGAGATCTTAGCATCTCTTCGATTGGATTACCTCCATGCTGGAATGCTACTGCCTGCTTAGTTTATGGAGCATATATTTATACCAGTTGTAATATGATAGTGAGTTGAAATACTTAATAATGTGTACATATCTAAATATTAAGATAATTAATGAAGCCTGTTAATCCTTATCAGGGATAATCTCTTTTACTGATTCAATCAAAACATGTCACTTAAGTCAATCACTCAGTAGTTAAAACATATTTGAGGATTTGTACAGAGGTCCTCATCTGGAGGTTTTGTCCTTATGGGGTTTTGTCCTAAGGGGTTTTTGTCTTAGGAGGCTTTTGTCCACAGGTTTTTTTGTCCTACAATCATCCAGTAAAGTCTTATAGTATAGCAGCTTCTCGCTTTCCCATGTAAATCCAACAGAGTGGACAAGATAACAGTCCTCTTCGTCGGACACCACAGGCGATGTCAATTCTGGGGTTAGGACTGCAGCCACCATCTGTTTTCTTTTCTCAGTCCAGTTAATACTACTAGGGGCGGTGGGGTAGCCTAGTGGTTAAAGCGTTGGCTCGTCACGCCGAAGACCCGGGTTCAATTCCCCACATGGGCATAATGTGTGAAGCCAATTTCTGGTGTCCCCCGCCCAGATATTGCTGGAATATTGCTAAAAGCGGCGTAAAACTAAACTCAGTCAGTCAGTTAATATTACTAGATTCATCCGGCACTGTTGGAGTTTCTGGCGGATAAATACAATTCATGCATTCTGAAAGTTATGTCCAACATGTATTCTTGAGAGAGGCACTTGGTCTAATTAGATAATTTTATTACAGTTATGTTGTGGTGTGATAATATGTAGCGCATCATGTCAGTTAAATGAAAAGGGTGTTTCAAACTCTGGTGTCAGGAAGTGTATAAACCGGTACAAATGGTATTATATAGTTCAGTTTCAGGAACTTACAGATCGGATTCTTTTGTTTCTTTTAGCATCTCCCGTGTGTGTGATTTTGATTCTTTCCTGTAATCTGCCATGTCGGTGGTCCCTCTTGCTCTTCCAGGTTCCCCAAAAGGCTTCTATTAAGAAAAGCAAATGCGTTCAGTTTGATTTTTCCAATAATATATTATTACAATCTGACAACACTTATTTGGATTATTATTATATTCACCATGTATCAAGTGAGTGAGTGAGTTAAAATTTAAAGTCACTTTGGCAATATTTCAGCCATATCGTGACTAAAACAATATATATATTAACAATAATTAAAGATAGAGTATAAAATCCTTTCAACGAAGGACAGTAAAAAAAAACCTAGATTATCACAGATATAAATGTAAAACTGATATTAATTGTAAAACATTTTAACTATAAAGGACAACACAATGCACCATGTATCAAACCAAGTAATAAGTAATTGTGGTATTTGCATTACTGAGGGGGCATCAGAAGTTTTTTATTAAGATGGTCAACATGATTAAGTAGAAATTATGCACTACACAAAGCTTTGGTATGCTATGACAATTCTACTAGATATTGCTAATTGACAGAATGAAATAATTAGATGCTAGATTAACCCAACTGTGAACAGAAAACGAGTTGATTTGGTTTGCATTTATGTGTAAAATGGCGGAGGCAATGACATTCGTAATCTTATAAAATTTAAAACCCAACATATATATTATTATCATGTCGAGCAATAATAAAACTTGGAGAAAGTTATTTTACCTTAAATAAGTCCGTTTTAGTGGATTTTCAAGGGACTCCACGAACTTTTCCATGATTCTTCTCACAACAGTCTAAAACATAAAGAGACACACATTTGGATTATGAACATATGTCGATTGGTAATATTTTCCACCTAATTATCATGAACTGCTTATTTCATCAATATTTGTTTCTTTGCTGCATATTACCATTTCCGACTCAACAAACAGGTATATTTTAAAGGGGAAACACTGAAAGCGTACTTGTCTTATGGTTATATCTTAACGGAATGTTCAGCTGTTATCAACAATAATGTTGTGTTTTACAGATTTCACACCAAAATGCAATGTCCAAATTAATAACCGTGAGGGAAATCGAAATGCGAGCGAACCGTTACTGTAAAATAACGTTGCTACCGAAAACGTTTAATTCGATGAAAACTGACTGCTATGATAAGATGAAAATAATGAATTTCAATTTCATCACAAAACCAACCTGACAAGGACGGGTTGCAGCTAATTTCTCTGCCCTGGGTCTCCGTTGAGATCGCTCAAGTTTCCGGATCCTGCATTTCTTATGCAACAATGAAGTTCCGTTTACATCCTCAAACAGCGTCGACCCCTAAGTGTTTTAGGCAATTAAAATTGTATGCAATACTGCGATCACTACTCCATTGCTGTAACCCGTGATTGGTGATATAAACCTACACCTGTTTATTTGTCATCGTTCAATTCATGGTCAAATTATTGAATTTATAACAGGTATAATTAGTGGTAACACCACGCAGATTACCCGACAAAGATTCCCATTTAGCATTTCTCAAGTCTGCACTAAAAATTCGAATTAAGGTCTGATGTATTTCATGTTATGTAATGCATGCATGGAGGTGCGGCTAAAGGAATTATCAACTGAGTTAAAACAACAACACAGATGAAAGGATTAAACGATAGCTCGCTAATTGATTTATTGCGTTTATCTTGCCCAACGGATATGTCAAAAGGTAGGGTTTATGTTTGTAGAGTTACTAACCTTTACTGAATACACCCACATTCTGTCGTGTAAACACAACGACCTTCCTTCAAGGATTAATCGACAATATGTTGATCGCTCATTGTTTTTTTTTAAAGACATTACGTAAATATTTGTCAGGTGTGTTATCTTAGGTGTCCAATGAGAACATACACCAATGCGAAAAACACCTGAAACAAAGTCACGTGAGATGGAACAGTTTTTTGTCAGATGCAGATGAATGGCATATCGTTCCTTTCTGTGGATATTGATGGATACATTCCTCGAACAAAGTAAGGGAACAGGCCAAAAGGGCCAAAGGCCCAAAAGGCCAAAATTGAAAAAGTCAAAAGGGCCAAAGAAAAGTCAAAAGGGCCATAGACTTAAATCAAAAGGGGCCAAGCTATTAGGAAATAGTAAGATTAACAGAAATTAACTACATGTTGTTGCAGTAGTTCTAACCCTAAACATTCTAAACATATCAGAGTGTCGTAGTGTTGTTTATTTAAAACATCTCAGAGTGGTTAATTGTTTAATTTATACCATACAACTGTTTGTGTAATGATTACAGGTAGTCAGTAATCAAAATAAGATTAACAGTAGTTGTTTTAAAAGTGTTTATGTTATGAGTATAGTCAACCATTCAACTGTTTGTGTAATGATTACATAAATATTTAATCAATTATCAACTATGGAGTGTATGATGGTCACACTATAAATTATTACTTTTGTGACTATTTACATATTGATACAAATAATAATAATAAATATTAATATAATAAAACATATACAATATGTATTAGTTTGCATGTTGTCTTTTTACCTATGGCCGTTTTGACTGAGAGGTCACATGCAACGTAAAACACAACTTTGCAGATTCTGATACCTTTCGGTATGGACTTACCGAAACAAATCGTCAAAAATGCAAATTCAACTTATAAAGTTGAGAAATAGCACGATGAAAAAAACCGCGCGAAATCGGAGTTCCAACGGGGGAAAACTGGTTTCAACAGCTGGGCTGCGCTCATAGCACGTGCGCAGTGAAATAAGTTCGTGCAGATTGGAAGCTGGTTGTCCGGTGAATACTTGGTGAAGGCTTGGTGTGAGCTATTTTTCTAATGTTTTGTTGATATCTCACAGGCGCGAGCTTTTTATATGTTATGACAGTAAATTGACTGTTTATATAATTTCATTTGTCTATTTCACCACACGTTCTTCTTACCGATACACTTTCTCAGTTCGATACTTAAAAGCAATGTCATTATTTAGCGTTGACAGAATTTCTAACTGTAATATAGATATGTCGTTGTCACAGACAAAACTCAATGTCTTGTTTTATTGACACCTGTGTGTTTGCCTGCCTGTCTGCTAATGACAATATTCAATATACAACTGCAATTTGAACTTAACACCAGTCAGGCTATACACCATAAACAAAATGCATTGATTTATGGCCGAGTTCGGTCTCTGTCACTTGATGTAATTACACCGACATGCAGGTGTGATACTTGAACACATGACATGTTATGATGTCTGTTGATTGTAAAATGTTATACACAAAAATGAGCATGTATTTACAAAACCCAACATCTCTATATGTACACACACAATGAGCCGTGAGGGCATACGCAAATGAACCAGCCGTTACACTTGAGTGCACACCCACCCGCTCTGACTGGGTTCGGTATCCCGGCTGCTTCGTTTCTTGGGAAGTAAACCCAAGTACACAATATTGCACTTTTGATTTGCGATTGTACGCTTATAATTTTGTTTATATGTTTTTTCATAACCAGCAATGTATTTTATATGTCATGAATAAGTGATAATTGTGTTTTAATTATGTTTGATTTTTTGGTTGCATGTGACCTTTAAGTCTATGGCCCTTTTGACTTTCCTCTGGCCCTTTTGACTTTTTCAATTTTGGCCTTTTTGGCCAATGGCCCTTTTGACTACAACCAACAAGGTAATTGCCTAATAGTTTTGCTACACGTTAGTTTGTTATCTGTATATTCTTCTTATGTTTGTTGTAGCATTCAACAAAATCATTCCCCTTCAAATCTTTCGCTGTGAAGTTCTTCTAGGCGAGACAGACAAATGTGTGTGAAATACGATTCACTTATATTTTAGGTGCTCTATAACATATCTAGAAATTAAAGTCACATTATAACTTCACTAAAACTGATCGTGCAATTCATTATGACGTTTCAAAGCGCATAGAAATATAATAATAATTAATTATGCTAGGATTATGAGGTAAAAATATAAATACTATGTGAAACTAGATTTTTGACAGAACCCTATCTCAAAATACTTGGCTAATGCTTATCATAGATATTCTAGATAACTGTGGATAAACACCGCTGTCTTCAATGACTGTATGTAATCTCATTCGCAACTACCAAATTTGCAGACATATGACTTGCTGTGAAATAGCTATGGTAACAGATCTTTGCGAAAACGTAATCAAAGTCTGTCTCACCACAGGTATCTGTGACAAACTAATCAAACGAACAAAATCGATACCTTATGGTTCACGCAAAAACCAAAAGGGAAACCATGGTACACTGAAAATAGGCCAAATCATCCCTACCTTTGTGGTCGTTGCAAACTATATTTGATTTACACTGCTTAAATAGCTTTTAAATGTACCATCAAATCTCTTATAAATTTAAGTTTTCCTTAAGTTTACCAAACAAAACGTAAAGGATCTTCAGGTTCCATATTCTTTGAATTAGGTTTCCGTATTCCTGAAATTAATTTTATTTTATGTGACAATATCTTTTATTTGAATTCTGATGTACAGAAACACTGACATCACGAAACTAAAACCTATATAATACATAGGCAGTTTAACGTAGGTTAATGTAGGTTTCTGGATATATGCATATGGAGTCAAATTTATTTTTCTACGATCGTTTCATTCAAGTTCTCACTAATAGAAACCATCAATCATGGTTTCCAGTTGCTTTATGCAATGGAAACTAACAATGATACTTTACTGTCAGTTTTCATTTCTGGAAACTAACCTTGTTTGTTTCCGACAGTTTTCAGTCGCTTAAACTAACCGTGTTAGTTTCAGCAACAGGAAACTGCCGGAAACAAACAAAGTTAGTTTCCGTGAGCGGAATCCTACATGATTCTGGCATTACCCAGTTTCATGTAGGTTTCCGGAAATCTGGAAACCTTGTTATTTTTGCTGTGTAGTGAAAGGTGTAAATGCGTCTGGAGAACCATGTAGGTAGCAGAGGTACTGTAAGTCCCCATGGTCTCTACTATGGTATCCTTAACAGTGTTGCTCGCGTCCTCTAGCTCGATTTGTATGTGAAAGTGTAAAACACTCAGTCTTAATGTTCCATTACTAGTTTTAAAAAACCAAACATGTGATATATTGCAAGTTGTTTTTCTATCCATCGATCACAGTTTTTAATTGTTTTATCAAGTCACAATATGGCTGAAATATTGCCTACGCGACTTACATTAAACTCACTCACTCACGTAACGTTTCCCTTATAAAGCAGTTCGACAAAATGTGTATAACGCATTATGCACAGCGAAGATTAGGATAGGAGTCTAAAGTCCTGATTAACGTTTGTTGATGGGATTGAAGATATGTTTCTTTCATCTATACACATGGAAATTAATTAAGCGACACCCGATACATTTTGTAATAATTTTGTACCTTAGAAAAACTGTGATGCTTTGATGGTGTACAGATTTTGAGTGGCGTTTCCTTTAACGAATGTTCAGTTTGGGAATTACACCCATCTCGCGAACACAACATGACAAACATGGAATCCAAGGTACCCACGTGCCCCGCAAAAATCACTTTCAATCGGATGTGCCAAAAGGTATAAAATGAGAACAAAATCGTGATAATTTACTCAGAACTTATCAGTATGGCACGGCGGCGATATTCACAAGCAAGGACATGGGATTGTACTGGCATTCATAAAAAAAGGAATTCCGCCAGACCGATTGGTCATCAGCTGAACATTCATCACTCTATCATTAGCAGACTTGTGAGAAAATTCATCGCCATCGACCATGTGAGGAATCGTCCAAGGCCAAGCCGACCCGGGAAGACTACCAGAGTGGAAGATAATGCCCTCGCACGCCTTGTGCTTTGCAAACCCTTCACCACAAGTGGCGTATTGAAAACCCTTTGTCTCCAAACAAAGCTGCGAGGAACAGAACAGTGAGAAACCGCTTGAAGTCGATCGGCATGAGGGCACAACGGGAAATTAAACGTCCTGCACTGACTATTCTCCATAGAAAAGAGCCCGTTTGGATTGGTGTTTTGCCCAACGTCAGTGGAATTTGACGCCGTGGAGGAAGGTCCATTGGTCGGACGAGAGACGCTTTCTTGTACACGTCACAGATGACAGTCAATGTGTTTCGAGGACCAAAAACACTGCGTATGTGCCACAAAACATGCAGGCTTCAGTTCCGATTGGTGGGGGGTCAGTTATGGTCTGGAGATGCCTTTCCCATGACTGTAAGCTGGATCTTGTCACGATTCGAGGGAATCTCAATGGCGATCGCTACATCCGGGACATCCTTGACCCCGTCCTTGTACCTCATGTTGACAACCATGCTTTAAGTCTTTTATTCATGGATGACAACGCTTGGTCTCACCGTTCTCGTGCTGTGAAGGAGTATCTTCAGGAAAACGCCATGACCCAACTCCCTGGCCTGCTATGAGTCCAGACAT